TTTAAAGGTGCCCCGGGTGTGGTGTGGGCCGGGGGGGGGGGGCTCTGCAGCTTAACTGGCTGCTTCTTGCTCTGACTGAGGGCTGCTGGGAGCAGGGGGTGGGGCTTGTTGCATGTGCCCACCCCCTGGGCTCTTTACTGCCGGAGCTCCGCTCCTGTGTGCTCCTGCAGGAAATGACCCCTGGCACAAAGTAATATCAAAGTAATAAAGTGTTTCCCAACTATTTTATCTGTTATCATCATAACGAGTTGTATAAACATGTATTAACATGCTGCAGCAGCTAAGGAACACAGTCTGAAGAGTTAAGGATAGTATCCTATGATGTATTTTTGTTTATCTTTAATATGATGAAGCCAAAATTATAAGAAGATGAAAGTTTCACCTCACTAACTTTGGTATTTGTGAGCATGTTCTGTCCTATAATCGCTTCAACAGGGAGGGAAAGAATGGAGGAATATCTTTAGTATCTGCACTATCTTGCTGAGTCCCTTCCCCTCTGCTTCCTGTTCAGGTACCTGTAAAGCTTGGGCATAGCCAGAAGTGTGGGCCAAAAGGCAAGAATCAAAGGATTCTTGGCCCATTTGCTCTTAGCCTATGGCCTGCAGCCCAGGCCTTCGGAAGAATCACCTTATAAAACCCAGGCCTTCTTCCCCCAAGATGTAGTCTGCTGTCATGCTGATCTTTTATTGATTTATGTATAGTCGGGGGAGGGGTGTAATCTGCTTTGGGACCTTTCAGGGAGAAAAGTAGTATAAAATAATTAAATAATAAAAAAACATGCTTACAATCTCGTTTTATCATATCGTCTTGCAAAGGGTTATGTCTTTGACGTGCTATGCACGTCTGAAGAATTTCAGTCCCCCAACCTGTATTTTTTCCAGGGAAGCACTACTCCTTTTCCCTCTGTTTTCCTGTACTTATGCCAACACAAATTGAATGCAATACACTAAAAAGTATTCTGCAATAAGTAGCCAGCGTGTCTTATAAAGCTAACAGCTTTGATTTGGCACTAAAGATATACATATAATGAGATTAAAAATGAGTGCTTAAATATGGATATATGAATCTGGAAATACAGGCATCATTATCAGCTAAATGGCCAAGAGTCCAGATATCTACCCAATTTGTTTGCAACACTGTATCTTCCTCTTAAAGACTGCAAAGTTTTTCTTATATATAGAAGTGCACACAGGAAGGTTCCCAAGTTACTATACTATTTCAAAGAACTAATTCCAAGTAAAAAAGAAGTAATAATCTAAACATGTATTGTTACTAGAGAATTTGATTGGTAGTATAAAGCATAACAGTTTACTCTTGTTAGCAGTTCATTTGAAATACATTTTTAGCATTTGATTTTTAGACAGCAACACCAAAAAATGAGGTATGCAAGTTTTAGGTATCACATCAGACTTTCAGTTTATGCAACTAACTGTATTTCACAACTAACATCTTACAAAATACACAGTACCATTGTGCCCATAGAAGTACTGCAGTTAAAAACAGAAAAAAATACATTGCTACAAGAAACCAGAAAACATCACAGTTATTGGGGGGCTACAAAATTCCATTATTTAGCTGAAAAGCTTATAGTATGTATTTAATATTTTGGGACTAGAGATTCACTGCCAAAAAATTCATCTATTAGTTTTTTCCTTGTTAATTCACAAACATTTTCTGTGAGGAATAAAAGTGAATTAATTGCTGGAAAACTATATGTACCCTCCTACAATACTCGGGTAGGAGTTATTACCAAACTGAACTAACACATTTTTTTAAAAAAACCCGAACTACCCAATCCTTTATTTTGTCAGAAGTAAGTCCAGCTGAGTTCAGTCAGACTTCTTTTCAAATAACAGTGCATAGGATTTCATCTAAAAATAGGAATGAAGACATTTTCTCACCACTTTGCTCTCAGAAATACTTTCTGTTGTCAGCAAGAGACAAGAGGGTTTTTTGTTTGTTCCTGAATCAGCTGGAATATTCATGGGTGTAATCAATTCATGACAATATTTGGGAGTTTAAGATTTGGATGGCAGCTGTAGTCAAGCACTGGGAATCACAAGAAAATAAAGATGTAAAACATATTCTCTTAATTACTTCTGAGTGTTAGTATATTATATATTTGGAACATAGTCTATGAGAGACAGTGGCCTGAATCCATCCATGCAGTTAAGAAAGAGAAGGTAGCAACTGTCACCGATTCCCTACTCCTGCTGGGGCCACTGAGCTGCTCACACTCTTTTTACTAACTGTCATTGGACACTTAGGAACAGCACAGTTGGGGTCTGCAACTGGAGGGTGAAATCAGCAAAAATTGCATCTCCTATCTCAAGAGAACTTAATTTCCCTTAAATCTTGGAGTGTGGTTGGATGCAGGTCTCTGGCTTGGTTCAGACAATCCTCCAAAGTATACTTACTGTTTCCTTGTGTATTTCAATTTCCATTTGTAGAGCTAATCATGGTTTGATACTATATTAATACTGGAAAACAGTAACACTTTTCCTCTGAAATCATGGCTTGAAGTAGGTTTCCAATTCTGATATGGACAGAAAGTGCCAATTAGGGTATTAAAAAAACTACGAGTAGCATAAAAGAAATTGAAAGGGTGCTGCATTGGAAGACAGGGGAGAACAAAGCCATGACTCACTTATGGTTCCTGAACTGATCCTGTTTGTTCTGGCCAATAGGCCTTCTTCATTTGATGTAAACAATACAGTCCTAAGTATGTACATGCATAAGTGCCACTGAAGTCTATGGGACTCATTCCTCAGTAAATGTAGATTCAGGTGGGTAGCTATACTGGTCTAAATCATCAGAACAAAGTTTGAGTTTAGTAGCACCTCTAAGCCTAACAAAATTTAATTCAAGGTACATGAAAGCTTATACCTTGGATTAAACTTTGTTGGTGTTAAAGGTGCCACTGGACTCAAACTTTGTTCCTCAGCAAATGTGTTTAGGATTCAGCCCTAGTCGCTTGTGAAAATACCCCTAGAGTTACAAGCCATCTCATTTCCCACTGTGTTCCTAACAGTACTGTACTAGCATAAGAAACTATGCATGGTTTTGTACATCAAAATACTTAACTTATGGTAAACAAAATTGCAAAACCTATACTCATAAAAAATACTTTATTGGAAATTTTACATAATATCGAATGGGACTGTAAATCTTTTTTTTTGTTCTGTATCTATATATTGCTAAATGCATAAATGTTCACAACTATGTCAAAAACAAAACTGCATTTTCCCTATGGTTTGCTCTATAATATTTAATAAAGGATCATTTAAAAAGCAAAAGGTTGATATAGGAACAAATGTTATATATATATTTATATATACACACGCACGCAGGCACACACACACACAATTTGCTTATTTTCCCACTCTGGTGCAACATTAATATCACTAGTCTGGAAGCCAAAGGCTGCATAGAGAGCTTATACATATGCTTTCAAGGCTTTTCACTTCCAAACACAGTTCTCTGTACCATCCAAGACTTGGCGCCATTTTGGAATTTTCTCTGATACAGTACAAAGAGCTATGGCTGGAGGAGAGAACCCCCAAGCCTGCATAAATACTCTCTTGCAAACTTAAGCTGTCCTATGGATTCTAGCCTCTGTGCTGAACTGATGCATCACTATAACACTGAGCAAGTCTAGGGAGAAGGAAAGAGGAGTAAGCCAAAATGAGAGCAGTATCACGTCTGGATTTAAGGTATCAACAGTAGTTAGATATTAAAATCTAGATAAAAAAAACTAATCATCTGAGAACAAGTCCATGTTCTATAAAATAAAATACCAGTGTATAAGGACAAGGTAGTACTACACTTGAATTATAAAGCTAAACAATAAATGCTTGTAACAGATTTACTTTTTTTGCTTGTAAACATTACAATAAATGTTCTAAATGTGTGAGGAAAATATTGGAAAAGTCAGCAACATAATTCAGTAACAGTAATCTAGTAAAATGTGTCAGGCATTGGCAAAAACTCATACAAATGTTTTATTTAATAACATTTTTCCTATTCAACCACACCAAGTACCAGCAGGTGTTTTAAGATAATCGTTACGAAAATTCTTTTGCAGCAATAGTTGATTAAGTTGATCTTTGACTTGCATACATATAACTATGTTTCACAATTCTCAAATAATACATATTTAGGCAGCTTGAACTATGTTATAAAACCTTTAATTCAGTACATGCCAATAGTATAGAATCCAAGAGCTGTGTTAGAATTCACTAAACTAAAAGTGGAAATGGACTTACCAGTAACACTGCATAAAGAACATTCAAACCACATTTTCATGGCATCTTCGTATATGACGATTAAAAAGTTAATCTGGAAATGTTTTGTAGATTGCAATTAAATTAAATTTCATGGTTGCACTTTGCTTTTACAAAATGCATAAATCATATTTGAGTAAACATACAAATCGTGCATGGTAGATAAGTCATGAAAATGTGGTAATTTTATATGTATATTTGCAAGTTCTGGAGAGGAAAGACTAAAGAAACTGGAGGAAATAAACTTTAATGAGATTCTCCATTCAACGATGAGGCTTCTCCTCTAGGTGA